ACCAGTGGCTGACTACAGGAAGCCCCTGCCCCGGGCTTCCTGGAATCAGCCGCTGATCAGTTTCAGCAGCAGCTGACTTGGGGATGCCTGGGGTTCTTAAGTTGAATCTGTATGTAAGTCAGAACTGGCGTCCAGATTCAGCCACTGTTGAAACTGATCGGTTTCAGCAGCGGCTGAATCTGGATGCCAGTTCCGACTTACATACAGATTCAACTTAAGAACAAACCTACAATCCCTATCTTGTACGTAACCCGGGGACTGCCTGTATAGGATTCTTTGGCAGATTGATTAAATGATGCATAACTTTACAACTGAAGGTCAAAAATAAGAGCCATCACTACAGACTTGTGCAAGTGCAACTGAAGACAAATGGTGAAACTGCATCAGCTAGTCCTTTTTTTTCTTTTAAGTGTTTGCACTGACATAAGTTTCTTACCACCATGATTTGTACATAATCAAGAAGTGACAGTCCTTTAAAGGGATTTTCTCCTATCCAGCCATACTGTTAAGGTTTCAGTGCAACAGCATAAGTAACCAGGTTCATATGGCAAGGAGGGTAATCCTTTCTACCAGCAACCTTGTCTAACTGAGTGTGCCTTACTTACAAGTGCTATATGCAGGCTCACATTGAAGTGACATGATCTGGAATTTTTCCTCATCAGTCTCCACATTCAGATTGGAAAGGTATTGCTTCACCTTCCTGGCCATCTGAGCATCCTCATAAAGCTTCTTGGCATTGAGGAGTGAGCTGCGTCGAGCACGTTTTTTATGAGCCCCTCCTTGAACATCAAGCATGTTTGAGTTTGTGCTGCCCTGGCTCAGAGACCTACGAAATGAAAAGGAAAATCAGTAAACTTCAGGTTCATTTCAAGAATGAGATCATACAGTTGCATATGCTGAAGCAGATTAATACCAGCACACTTCAGTTAGGGCTTGTACATGCTGATGCAAATGAGTTAAAAAGATGAATAGCATTCAAACAACATTTGTCTCAAAGTAATTTGGTAAAATGACAACAGTGTATTGAATCTACAAAGGATTACTCATGAAAATGTGGAACTGGCAAGAACCAAGCAAAATGCTATGTAAGCTGCCCATACACCTTTGTTAATTTAGTCCTGTTTTTTGCAAAACACCTAACATTCCAATTGTGGGTTACACTGGCGGACAAACATACCAAGACTGTTGAGGTTGGTTTAAGCAATTTGGTCCTTAACATATGTTTATCTGAGTCTGAAAACCTAATTTATTGCATAGTGAAAGACTATTGAATTATCCATACTCTGTCTGTCCATGTTTATTGTCTGTCAATACCTCCCCATGCAACAGGGAGACTGTCCACATATTTGCTTCTCGAGAGTTGTTCTGAGTAGGTTAATTCCCATTGGGTCAGCCACCCCAGCATAACCACACTCGGGACTGTACAGAGAGGTATCTGCAGCCTGCTCCACACGAAAAGGAAAGGGTTAAGGGCCAGAGCTGACCCTTTAAAAACCCATTTTTCCTGGATGATAAGTCAGCAGTCATGCTGACCACTTTTGCAGAAGTTTTGAGTCTCCATCTCCTCAGAAGCCATAAAGCATTGTTCTCTTCATCCAGCCAGCCAAATTACCTCTCCCGATGTCCCCAACTCAAGATGAGGGGTGGTCAACCTCCCCAAAAAAGTCTGAAAAACTGACAAAGTTATGATAAAAAGAAATGCAGTCTCATAAATAGAAAGAACACTATGTTGCTCCCTCTGCATTCAGTTTTGCCACCTAGAAATGATGTCCCGCAAGCATCTTTTTCTTCTAATGTGCACATGATGGAGATGAATTGACAGCACAGGAAACTGCAATTTTCTGTTTATCAAAACAGGCATAGAAGGACAATGGCAGTCCAAGCTTTTCACTTACTGGCCTATCAACGTGCTTAAACCCAGACTTAGAGATAACCTATCTATGGAGGAGTATGTCAGCCTTCTATTCCCCTACAACCTCTGGTCTGAGATTTCCAAAAGGGCTGTCTATTTCAATTCACTTGTTCCTTGAGAAATTGGAGATCACCAAATAGTTTAACTTAAGCATCCATTGTTATAGCTGTTAGTCACTATCCAACTTTGCTAACTTTGAACTACTGACCTAAAGGTTAAATGGTTCTATCACCCCCTAACTAAATCTCTTGTAGATTTACACTCTTGTGCAACTGTCAAGGCCTGGCAGAGAACCTATCTTGGTCAATATTAAAATAATCTTAGCTGCATTACATGGCAAATTCTAAAGTACGCTTTAAGTCCAACTTGCATAAACTATGCCTGAATTGTCTTATAAGGCATCCACAGGTATAACTTTTCTTTTAAAAGTGAATGCTGTGTAAATAAAGGTAATTGACTTGTTAAAGAAATCATATGTGGAGGGATATGCAGTCATTATTTGGCAATATACATATTTCACAAGTATACAAGTAGGCATAAGGTCAAATGCCCAAATGATCCAGGCTCCCAAGTAACAATGCTTCACAAAATCCACTGGAAGTGTCAGAGAAAAGTAAACACACTAATAAAAGAGTTGGAAAATAAGACTAATGTTTAAGAAAAGTAACTGGGCATATTGAACTTAAGCAAAGAACAAAAAAGAGAGACGTAGCTGTCCAATATATAAACAAAGGAAATGATGAATACATTTTTGGATCAATCGCTCACACGTCAAATTCTAAGTAACAATAATCTCAAATACATCGGGAAGATATAGGCTAATTATGGGAGAACAGCCATCCAGATCACATAAGATGGCAAGAGAGAATGTGGAATTCTCAACATTTTGATATGTTGAAGGCTAAAGCTGAAACTTATCCATCAATTATGGTTGGGAACAATGAAAGACTACATCTATTATGCTAAAAATCATGATGCTCACTAATATTTTAGCAATACGGTACCAAATGAGATTGGAACTAACTTTCAGAATCTCACGTATAGTTTTAAACATGACTTCAAATAGATAGAAATTTGAGCTAGTGCCCCTTTTTGCTTGAATGTGAGCAACGGCAGCCAAAACTCTTTATTTGCTCTTGCCTGTTCTTGTCTACCCTGGAATGCAATGGATGACTAAGGACCTAGTGGATTTGTGTCATCATAAAAGTCCAGCAATTAAGAGTGGAAGCTATCTGGAGTCAGACTTATTAAAAAAAACCAAAATTTTAATATCTATTTACATCTAACTTCTAATACATATAGAAAAGAAAAGACATTTGTGTTTAAAATTCAACATTCCTTCAGTTAAGGGATGAGCATTCTCAATCCATATCTTGAACATCAACAATCTAGCAAAACTGGGGAATCTGATTTTGCATACTTGGTAGTTCTAACACTTAAAAAGGGGGGGAAATATGCTGAGACGCACAAGCTTTCAGTGTACCTTTTTGTATCATAAAGTAGTCAAACTAGGCACAAATTATCCATAAGTTCTTTGCAGATCACCTTCAAAGTTCTCTGCTTATACCCATCCCCTCCTTAGTGGCTTTCTATCATAGGTGTAAGAATGAAATAATTACATATTTTAAAGCGTTTTAAAATAAATATAAAGGAAAACAAAAATAAAAGAAACTGGCTTCAGCATAAACTGAACACACAGTTCTAGGGGCCTACTGAGGTATTCTAGGCTTTGGTGCCAGACCACCACCTGCTTTGCCTCCTCCCTACAGTATCACATACAGAGAGGTGGAAAGAGGAACAGTCAATGATCAGCTACCCAGATCTCTTTGAGAAGGACGGGGGTGTATTATAAGAAGAAATTTACTGTGCTGATTTGCATAAGGAAATCCCACCTGGAGATGTGTAGATTGATAACTACATAATTTTACATGCAATTATTAATGTCCTATGGGGTTTTATTCCTTATGTACATTCAGAATTTTTAAAAAGTTAATTCTCTTTAAAAATCATGCACATTATGTTATTCTCACTTTGTTTTTACAATAATCCTAAAGTGACAATGTATGAGCTATGTCATTGTCCTTCAGACTACTCAGGAGAAAAAAATAATAGCAGAGGTATGTTTTTCATAATTCCTATTTAATTTAATTCATTTTACTTATTTTTAGTTTTCATTTATTTTCACTGTTTAATTTTTTTTAATGGAAGCTCTAAAGTCAAAGATTATTCGTCTCTAGGAAGCCAAATAATGTAACTAATCAGTCCCAATATATTAAGTTATTGTAATATGTAGGCATTGGTTACAATATTCATTAGAAAGCCATATTGTACTCACAAACCTCATGATTTTGGTCCCTACTCTGCATTCCTGGCACAACCAAAATTCCCAGTGAAGACAATGAGGATTTTGGAATGTGCCCAAATGCAGAATTTGACCATTTTTAAGTACAGTTTAAAAATATGAGACACTGTGCAACTCACAATTATAACTGGAATCAAAAGTTTAGAGAGGTTTATAATTACAATAACCCAATACACATTTACAGTTAAAACAAATATTAGTTTGAACTTGAGATAAGTATTAAAAGATATTTTATTTGTTTTAAGAAATACTCTGCATTACACTGTAGTTAGGTAACAGTTTCTCTTACTGCATTAAACTAAAGTTGAAACAGCTTATGTAGAACATAAAATCAACTCAGAGGCATAAAAGCTGACTGGAAATAGTGCTTATTCATAGATTTTCTCTAAATGTATTCACCAAAAATATGTATTTATTGCAGGGTTAATAAAATGCATGCTGAATTTCAGATGCATGCACTAACGAGGAGGATGCAGTATGTTAAAGTTGCATAACCTTTGTTTATCTTAATTGCATTCATCTCTACACTTACCCCAAACTCCTCCACCTCTTCTTCCTGCAAGCAAGAGCCATATACATTGAAGCATGTATTTGAACAGAAAAGCACAGGAAAAATATCACAGTTGAGAGTCAGGAAGAAAAAGATGCAGACAGGAAAGTATAGAAAAGAAAAAATTCTTTCAGGCAAATATTCTTCTCAAACAATATAGCTTTAACAGAATACAGGGGGAGAACTCCTTACAACATTTTAATGAATACAGAAGAACTTATGTTCAAACTATAAATGTGAAGCCAAACTCCAGTTAACTTTTCATGTTAAATATTTCCTACAAATCAATTTTAGATGTTGCATCTTCACACTCAAACAGCTTACCTGCTATTTATCTGTTTTTGAGGAACAACATACAATCTTTATATCTTTCAAAAAAATTCACATTGTGGGAAGTATCATGAGACTACTGGAATTTAATGCATTAGGATTACAATGATAAGAAACAGAAATTTATAATGATCCTGTTTCTTACTATATTTTTCAATTTGATTGCTTGAGGAAAAGTGTTATTTAACAAATACATTCTAAAGAATTAGAAGATTTGTTCTAATTTTTTTTCATTTGTCTTTTTAATTTAAAACATTTTATTGGCACTTTTATAACAGAAGAAACTAATTGACCATATAGGAGAAACAATGAAACAGACTCTAAATGAAGAAAAAAAAAAAAAGACTTCCCTTTCTAAGCAAAAGTGCTACTTTGGACCATAGTAGACAAAGCATTTTATGAGGGCATTGTGTTTGAGGTGTCTCTTAAAATGAATGCTGGAAGTTTAAAAGTCATATCACATGTGAACTATATATGATATTCATTCAGTGAAATAATTAGACTTCATCAACTTCTGCAAAGTGTTTAAAGTATAGAGAGATTTTGAGACAGAATTGATACGTATATATGGTTTAAATGTTTAACTATAAGGGTTTCTGATGAGCCCCTGTAATTCATTAGATTAATATTTTACAGATTTAAAATGTGGGCTTTTTGCTCATATAATCAATACTGGTATGAAAGTTATACTGTTCTCTGAAAAGTGTCTGTGCTAATATAACATTGTTGCATTCCACTTTGTAGTGCAATAATTACATACCAAATTTGCTCACATTACAAGTAAAACGGTCCTTTTTCTAACTACCAGCCCTGAAATCTCATCCAGTGAACTGAATACCAAGTTAGGTTCCTTCTGGCTTGTGTATCACAACATTAATAAGAATTCTGGAGGCATAGCTCTGCCCTCAGGTTCACCTTTGTTCCTCACATTATGCCTTCAGTTATACCTAAAGGCAATTGCCTTCAGCTGAGCAACGTAATTGAGGGCATAATTTCAAGATAAAAAGACTGCTCAAGTGCCTTGTGAAATGGAGCTAAGTTAACATCCTCCTCACTGATTCAGTATGGAGCATCACTCTGACTCAACTGCTGCCAAAGCCACCACACTCAAGTCAAGGGTCCATGGGTGAAAAGGATGACTAGGGGGGCCTTTGTACTGACCCAATATAAGTCAATGCAACAGGCTGCAATATGGATGACTCACATGAGGACCCATAAAATGAATAGCTATATGAATCTCCAGACTCTGACATCCTACACAATTGACAGCTGCTGTTTCATTTCCAGGCAATGCAATACAAGTAGCCCAATGTCTTGCCCCCAGGTTAGAGATGGTGGTGGTTCCACTCTGTAGCTGCATACAGCCTGATTACATCTCTACCACTATGGAGGTAGAGTGAGTTTTGTCTGTGATGAATAATAAAATAAATAATGTTGTCCTAATACAGCCTGAAGCAGGACTACTCAATACGTGGCCCACGGGCCGCATGCGGCTCATGGCCCATTTGTTTGTGGCCCATGGTGCAGTTGGGGTACACGTAGCCCATGGGTGGGAGCCAAAACAAAAAAAGTAGTCAAATTCCTGGTCTGTCATTACTCATTAAAAGTGCTATCATATGAGTGGAAATCAGGTAAAAATTACATTTTATATTAATATCAGCAGAACTGAATTAAATGGTGCCTGCGTGTTATGTATTCTTGCCATGATCTATGTATTCATGCCTGTCAGTGAAAGAAGATATTTGCATATATATTTACTTGTATATGCAACCACGCTTAAGTTATAGGCCTAGGCATGTGATGTGAGTATCACTGTGACCCCCAAAGCTTCCAAAGTGAGTAGCCCAGCCCTAAAGCACTAGACAGCTTAGGGAAAATAAACAGGAATATTTCACCTATAAAACCATATTAAAATATTTTCCTTTATGCTTACAAATTCTCTTTGGTACAGACTTCACTCTAATGATAAATGTTAATAACTGAAATAATAATGGAAACATAAAAATGTGTTAATTAGGGATGTAAAATCCCATTTAATCAATTAACCAGTTAAACATTATATTTAACTAGTTAACTGCTTAAACAGGAGTGGCTGGGGGGAGGAGGGGCGGAGGGAAGCAGCTCCCTGCTGCAGGCAGGGGCTGACCAAGACAGGTTGGAGCACCCACCACCTGCGGTGCAGTGGGCTGTTCCAGCTAGGCCTGGCCCACTGTGGGTGTTCCAGCCAGGCTGGGGCTGCTACAGCCTGACTAGGCCACGGGTTAACTGGAACCGGTGAGCATTACTGGTAAAACATTCACATCCATAATGTTAATGCACAAAACCCCACACTCTACCCACTGTATAAGAGGTATCTTTAATCCTACTTTCTTGTTTAATTGCACACCTTTGTCTGAACATTACAGCTGGATCCATGTTAGCAGAGGTCATTCTGACGACTTGTCGAATTTCTTTGGCAATCATTCTGAGTTTCTCAAAATTTACCAGGCCCTCCACTTTTGAATCATTTCCTGTGCAATGAAATATGTAGAACAAATATAAGCAATATTCAGTACTTTTCTAAGGCTGCCATGTTATTTGTGTCTAATAATATTATCCTTCAGCAGATGTCAAAAGCCTTTAATTCAACTATCAGTCAAAACCAGGAAGTAGCATATTGGCAGAATACAGAAGCCAGTCAGGCCCACTTGAAGTAGAAAGGAATGCTTGCTCTGCCCTTGTTAGTTAATTCTAAAGTGGCAGCTGTCAGTAGGGGGAAAAATGGAACTATTCACAGATTTATTTTCATATGTTAAAATAGTATAAATATGAAACTGACAACATTTACTCTTTTAAATTACTTCAAACAATTCTGAGACATCACATCAGAAAACCTGGCATATTTAAAACCCTTTAACCTTTACTATCAATGAATGGAAAACAGTTAAAAACAGAAGTGTTTTAAGTAAGAGGAAGCATTTTAAAGCAAAAGTAAGAATTGTATTCTGGCAGCCCTCTCCAAGACACTAAATGAAACTAACTATGCAAATACCATAATGAGGAGCTTTTATCACAGAAACATATCTGAAGTGTTTTTCACATTGTTTACTACAGTCTAAAGCTTTTCTATCATAACCTTGGAGGTAGATAATGATTAAGTGCCATTTTTTAAATATTAAATATCAACACCGAATTTTTAATTTTTGTCTAGATCTGCCTCTTCTATTATGCATAATATTGTATTTTAGTCATATAATTTGGAACACTGGACTTCAAAAAGGAAAGTATTAAAATATTATTCTATACTTTGATTTATTACTTCTCCAACTAGAGAGTTACCTTCATGCAGAAATGTAATATCCTTCTTGACAACAGGAAACAGTGGAATAATTGGAGGCTGCATGCTCTGACTGCTAAGAATGTTGCGGTACTTAGCCATGTTTCTAGATGGATCAAAAAGATCTTGAAGGTCTCTAAGGTGCTTTTCATACTTGCTCGGTAGCTTTTCCCAAGTACCTCTGAGTCGTGCTACTGGCGCCAGATTTAGCCCACTGTAAAAGATATTTTTTTCTATTATAAACTGTTAAATGGGGACCATTGCATTTAATAAGCTGGGGGAAGGCTTCTTTTTTCTTATAAAAGGAAAAAAGGATATTTAAAAGGTTACATTTAAAATTGGGTGTTTGTCACGGTACAGCCAAGACAGACACAAACTGGGCACTCTCCTGAACACTAAAATTGAGACTTGATGAAGATGAAAACTGTTTTATGGTCATAATGCACATATTAAAAAATATACTGCATTTCCAAAACAAATCTATTTCCTATGCTCAGCTCAGTTAACAACCATTTTCTGACAGTGTGACTCTATGCAAAAGAAAGGATATCAAGAGTTAAAAGTTATTGAATGGAGTAGGAGGTACAGCTATAGTAAAAAGGCAAGAGGAGTAAACAGCACATTTATTACAAACAGAAATGGGGATAATTTTAAGACAAACAGATTGGGAGCTTTATAATGGGTAGTGTTGATCTGAAAATTAGTGAAGGCTTGGTACATTTAAATCTGACTTTTTGCAAGCATACAGCACCCAAACATTATTGACAGAGACACATTTTAGAAATCAAATTAAAAATCTCCATACACTAAGTTAAAGTAGCATAAGAGTCATACAGGCTTAGACTAATGAATTTTTAAAATCAGTACTATGAATCCTTCTATAGTTGAAGAACAGCAAGCTGTATTCTATTCTACCAGATGAATTCTGATTCTACAGAACCTTTATTTATGTGTTAAGAAATAGAACATACATAGTTTGATATTCAAATTTCTAGTTGCATTTGCACTATTGGCAGTTAAAAAAAAACCTTGCTTTGATGTATATACTGAACAAACCTGGGAGGAAAAATAGATAATTTCTAATAAGTAGAATAACTTTAAAAATTATTCAAAGGGGTAGCCAAGTTAGTCTATACAGGATAAACTTTAAAAACAACAAATAGTATGGTAGCACTTTAAAGACAAACAAAACATGTAAATGATACCATGAGCTTCTGTGCCCATGAAAGCTCATGATACCATCCACATGTTTTGTTAGTCTTTAAAGTGCCACCACATTATTTGTTGTTTTTAAAGTTATTTAAAAATTATAACTATAAAAGAGATAGCTTGTTCCTCATCCTCTCTCACACATCTTCTTTCAAGGTGAAGTTTCTTTCTGTAGATATTAAACTTGGGTTCCAAACCAACCAATTGTGTTCTCTCTTCATATAAGCTGGGTAGGTAGGCAGGTCAGTTATATCAAGCTGATATCACCTGATTTTTCTGCTCAGCCACAACTGGTTTACTCAAATTTGCAACCTGAAGCATTTACTCTGCATAGATAACCAATACAGAACAGTCATATTTAATTTTGTTGCACTTATATCACTAAACTCAGATTTGCTGTTATTGATTAGGACACTGCTCTGTGGAACCAAAACAATTGTCCTTTCATTAGCTCTCTGAAAGGCAGCAAATAAATAAACCCCTTTTTTAATATGACAAGGTATGGATTAGATATAATTTTCCTTTATTACATTTTGCCTATGCTACCACAGAAAACAGGAATGAAGATAAACCTACTCCTCAACAAAAAATTAATGTATCATTTTCTTTTTAAATGTAACAACTGAAATTTGGAAGCGTCTTTCCCCCTGATCATCACTGTGCTTAACCACTATCCTTAGGAGCAGAAGAGGGCAGTTAAGTACTGCCGTATATTGTGTGAGGAAATAGAGTTGCTTAAGGGACAGCCACTTTGAGACCAACGAAGACTATTTCTCCTTGAGGTGGAATGCAAAGAGGAAATTCACCTGCTGTACTCCCTTTAGAAGGTGTTAACATGAGCACTTTGGTGTGCCTAGCCAGTCCTAGTGACTGTTGGTATGCAGGAATGGTCAGGGTCCTTTCTCCTGCTGCCTCTTAAGGGGAAGTTGTGCCACAGGAGAGACCTGGTTAGTAATCACAACTGGCCTTACTCTAGGGATAAACTGAGAGAAAGGTTTCTTGCACTTCGACTCCTTCCTTGAGCATGCTCATTCAATCCCATTTACAATCTGGGCTTTAATATATTATCAAGACATTTTTCAGCCTATAAGAAACTAATGACCAGAGTTGGATTCTGAGATGTCAAAATCAGTTTAGAAGAATATGTTTAATCAGATAAATTGGCTGCCCTATAGAGAAGAAAACATCCACAAAATGGATTTTCCTACTCCTCAGCATGATTACCACATTAAATCCCTTGAATGTGAATATTTTGAATGAGCAGTTAAACACCACAGAAAATGGTTAATCTTCCAGTTGCAATAAGGTTTCCCCTGATAAAACTATTTTAGTCTTTCCACTGTAATGCAACAAACAAATAATACCAATAAAGCAATTTAACACTTGAAGAACTATGATTTTGCCTAGGATTTTACATTTAAGAAAACAAAGAAGGTGTTTCTTTTGCCATTAATCCTAGCTTGGCAGCACAGAGTGCGTATAGCAGTATTTCACCTCTGGCCCACTGCTTTAGAAGCCTATTTGAAGTATTGCATTAGCTCAATCCCTGGCCTAGAGGACAACAGTCCACAATATTATCCTTAAGGAGGAAGACTGAAGATGGTGTATATTGAAATTACTCCCAGGCTTCTAATTATACGTGGAAACTAAATAAACGCTCAAGGCATCTGCACATTATCTACCTATTGACACAATTAAGTACTCACTAATTAAAAACCATGGAATGGGCCAGTACTCTGATTTAACAGTGTTTTGTGACACTCAGATGCTTCCAAAGCTGGAGAAGAAGGGAAATAATATCTTCTAATGTGCTCCTAATAGTAGAAGGCATTTGGATTCACAGATTATTAATGAAAAGACTTTAAAGTAATATTTCAGCATCTGGTGTTATATACAGGTGAAATCAGAATTCATTTCAATCAGTATACAGTGAGTTATTTATAGTAATAATAGTGGTGCCCAAATACACTGATTAGTATATAGTATATTTTAATATTTAATTTAATGCACAGATGCACTAGTGCAGGACAACTATTATTTTATGAAAAATAATTGCCCTGAGAAGACATACATATTGCCTGTGGCATTTTATTACTTTATTAACTTTTCTTAAAAGAGAATCAGTATCTAAACAGAAACAGACTGGAACAGTAAAAACGAATTTAGCAAAGTGTATCAATTTCAGGTTAAAAATGTTATGAACATGAAACTATCTTGCATCAATCCTCATACCTATTCTAGTATTTTTGTTTAATGCTATTCAGTTATCAAGAAGGGTATTTTTAACATAATATAAGCATTACTATTAGTCTTTTGTAGTGATCACAAATATTTAAAGTGCTTCACAATATACACAGAAAACCAGTCCTGACCCAAAAAGGTTAAATTCCCCTCAGTTAAAGTATTCTTGCAGACCAGTATAAAGAGAGTAGAAAATGCTTGCCATTTTGCAATAGAGCAAAAATATAATATAGAAAATTATTTAAGTGGGAAAATAAGGCACAAGGGATGTTACTTTAAAACATATGTATCATTCTATTATTACTATAAGGAGATTATAGAAAATGTATAAGCAAGACTAGAACATAATACATGGACTTAAGGGTCTCAGTTTACAAGGTTACAGAAACTCAATATATATTCTTTAGAAAAAAGCAGCTTAAGAAAATGATGAAAATAGTGAACACACGAAAAATGGAGATAAGGTAGGACCCTTACTGAGTCCTACAAACTCCTAAAGGCACCAGAATGGTTTCATGCTGCCTCTCAGGATTTATAACATACACAAGATAAGAAAAGAAAAGCGGTGTCCTGTTTTAAAGCAATTATTGAGAGGCTTTAGGGTTTTTTTTTTTAAGGAGTATTTAGTATAGAGAACTAGCAAGGGCAGTGTTGTGAATCATTACAAAAATAGTTTGAAGTAGGACATATATTTGGCAATATGGACCTTAGAAAATGTGTGGAAAGTGGATTTTAACATAAGAGTTGTGTAATTTGTCACTGTAATGTGTAGCGTAATAAGAGTTGTTAGAAATCTTGTTTAAACCAAGTAAATAGTCGTACAAATATCAGATTAAAATTATTTGGTTTTTATGCTTTTTAAAAAAAAAATCACAATTAAAAATATGCACAATTTTCCCCTTCTGTTATGTCAAATCATTTGCCTATCAGAAAAATCATGGTCTTCTTAAAACTTCTAGTCATAACAACATGCCCTCAGAACAGGGACATGCAGGAATAAGTATGCTTAGGCCACATCTTCACTTCCTGGAAGATTGATATTGTGGCGGCCAGTCTTCCAGAGTCCCATTTAGAAGGTTCATTAAAGACCCACTAACTCAAACGCTAAGGACTGGACCCTCTAAAAGGAATAGTAGGATTTGTTCTCATCAACCTCCCACTATGGAGATGGCACAGAAATGTGAATTAAGGTATGTCGACTCCAACTACACAATTAATATAGAGATGCGTATCTTAATTTGAAATTCCAAGTAAGTATGGACATAACCTAAGAAAGCATCACCTAGACATAATATGCCAGACTGTAAATGGGTTACTTGTGACACAGCCTAAAAAAGGCAAATTTCCCTATAAACTTGAATAAACACACAGGCTGATTTCTTGAACAAAACTTCAATTTTCAGAGTGCGTGATGCAGCCAAAATCCACTGAGGGAGAGTAACTCCTACCCATGAGAAACTAGACATTAGAAAAGGGGGATAGAGTATGCTCCAAAGCCTAAAATACTCAGGAATCGGAAAAAGAGAGCAACCACAGAGAACAGTCAAAATATTCACCAGTTTTCTATGGTTTAAAATTAACAACAACATTTCTCCAAACACATTCTCTTCTTTACTTATTCTCATGGACTAGTAAGAATAGCTGCGTAAAAGTTAAGGAGCTATCACAAAAACCACAATACAAAAACTAAAAGCAAAAAAAATAATGTTGAGGGTAAGAGAAGGAAAAAAAATATAGTGAAGGTATACCTTTTTGTATAGACTGATTTTAAAATACACTGTACCACCACAAGTTATTGTCAGACTAAATATGTTTTGATTCGCCATAATAGATGTTAAAAGTATTACATCTGATGCCACAATCTGATTCAGCTCTAATTTAATATGAATAAAAATATAATATTCAAGTGACCAATATCTGCCAAAAGAATAGTACTTTACCTTATAACTGCAAACATGGAATTGAAGTTCTTGCATTCTCGACAATGTAGGGCAATTTTAATGAAATGTTTAACTATCTTCATTCTTTTGAGCTGGTTGGGCTCTGTTAAAATTTCTGTGGCAACCCAGAAGGTCTCTTGGTTAATGACATCCTCAAATTGTTTCAGATGAGTATTTCCTGTTTTGGAGTCCATCTTATAGAGGTCATCAATATATTCAGTAGGCTCAATATTTCGAAATAATTCAAAGTCTCTCATGGACAGCTGTGTGGCCACCTCAATGGTACTCAACTGTAGAAGAGATATCTGACTCTCTCTAAGCAGTTCTTGGGCATCCTCGTCCGAGCATAACGTCTCTGTTTCCATATTGTTTTTCAGATAATACCTAAAGATAAATACAATAAAATGTTAGAGCAGCTTTTCTGTGACATTCTGAAATTACTTTACATACCATTAAGTTTAACATCAAGACCTGATGTCTTAGGATTATCCACACTTGACTGATGTAAGAACTAATAAGATCATCTATAATAGACATGCCTAGAGCCTAACAATGAAAGGCAATGTTGGAATGGAACTCCATTGAGTTCCATTCCTCAGTATCTTACACTACCCACTGCACAACACTGCCATTGCTAAAGTAATAATGTTCGATGAGACCACTGAAATCTTTTCTTCTTCTTCATTAATCACCAGTTTCTATATACCAGCCTACAATTGAGTACATAATAGCTTTGCCCTTCAGTAAAAGGTCAGTAGCTTGTCTACTTACAAATACAGCAGTAAATTAACATTTGAATAGCCCTGGATCCTAAGAAATATTTAAAGTCTTGATGTAAATGAATTTTCCCATTTTTTATGGAAAAATTAGCATAATGAATTAACATATACATGAAGCACACAGTACTCAGGAAATGAAAAGACATTTAAACATTATTTTCTTGGTCCAAAGGAGATCACTTACACACATAGACTTCATGCATGTATCTTGGGTTATTATCAACTAGATACAATATTATATTTTACAAAAAGGAAGTGTATCTTTTGAAAGTAAATACTGTAAACATCACCAGAGTATATTAATTATTCCTTTTTAATGAAAACCATTGTATATCTTGAACTGACCTGAATTATCTAGTATTATGGCAAGCTGGTTTTTTTTTTTAAATACTGAAGTTCATTTGAAATGTATTACTCAGATGCTATACTTTTCTAATAGCCAGATATACAACTTCCACTTTGTCATGCACCTCTTTCTTTAGAGGGAAGGATAGCACCACACCAGGAAATAAAAATATTTTAGGGGAATTCACATTCATGCATCCATGATGAAACTGTTTTTTGTAATAGAAAGCATAGCAAGTTTATGACAATCCCTTAAACATAGTTTGAGAGGTCTGAAAAAGTTGCAATAGCCAGGAAAGCTTTCTTGCCAACTCTTGATACACTAGATAAGAGAGTTTTAAGATCTATTGGCATTTATGGAGGAAAAACCTTAGTCCTCACCTCCAAGCAAAACATACTTAGCAGCTGTAGGAAGCCTTCTTTGAAGTGCTGATTAATGCCACTGAAATTCAGTGTAAAGTATACACAATTTTATAGATGGGCAGCATCAGAGATTATAAGTATCAGAATGCAAAGAATAAGTTCTCATCAACATCAGGTGGAAATGATCTCTCTTCCCCACTCCAAAGAAAATCTGAGATTATAATTACGTGCTGAGTGGATGCATAAAATATTTTTCTGCCATAGCAGCAGGGGAAAAAAGCAGACAGGTCAAAAAGCACAGCAAAGAGAGAGTACTATAATTACAGTTGAAAACAATTCAACTTATTTGCTCACAGCCTAGGGCAGCAATTCCGGTTTAAAATGTCTTAAGAGTAATTGTGTACACCGAAATGAATGCTTACATCTTTAGCAGTTCTCAGTAGTACAAAAGACATTCTATACTTTCTTCTCAAATTTTAATCAGGACACTGTTCTTTGAAATTGCTTTTTAAAAGCTTCACCTTTAAAGACAAAGTCAAACAAAACACAACAAGTACACTTTTACCTTCCGTTCAGCTGGATTCTGTCTGCTAATTTGGAGAACTGATCTGGAAGCCTTCTCTGTTTGATAACTCCCTCAGGACTAACAGACACCTCACACAGGGAGTAGGTTTCTGGAGCGCCCGTCAAGTTGAATTCATGCAGTGCATGACTCACAACTTCTTTTGCTGTAGTGTCTTTGCTGATTATAATGTAACAGCTTTGCTGATCCGCTTTGAAAACTCTTATAACTTGATCTGGAATATCTAAATTAAAAAAAAATCTTTTAAGTGCTAAACTTCTACATCTCTTGAAAGGATAAAACAGTATTCATCGGTCAGATGAGGTGGGGTGGACAACACCTGGGTCTTAATAAAAAGTAAGTTCTCAGTATTTGTTCTCATTCTCCTGAAAACTGATGCTGTTTTTTCTATGGGGCATCCCCAGGGCTGGGTCCAGACCAGATCCGCTGGCAGCTACGGAGCTAGCAGCAGCCTGGCTAGTGCTGGCAGCAGCTGTGAGACCAGCAGCAGCCCGGCTAATGCTGGTAGCAGCTGCAGGGCCAGCAGCCCTAGTGGGCCATTGGCTAGGAGTCTGGTAGAGCAGCAGCGGCTGTCCAGTGGTTTTCGGGGGGGGAGTGGAGTTGGCAGCTGGGGCAGAAGCAGAGTTGGGCAAATGGGACAGAACTGACCTCCTTGGGTCAAGCAAAATCCCTTATTCAGGATCAGTCAGGTTCTGAGGGTGCCAGACCAGGGAAATCCAATCTGTATCAGCCTTTCCCAGTTGAAGAAAAGTAGCCACACGACAGCTGTAACTGAGTTGAGGAGAGGACTAAACAAATACTAAAATAGGGGCCGAAATGGCATGGTGAATGAAAACTGATTCTACCAGCTATTTCACTATGAGTTTATATATTCTATGGTAAAAGCAACCTCAAACAAATTGATGAATAGCGGACAACTAAAGTTTAGAAGTCTCATATGTATGGGGGAAGGTACTAAGAACTGTTAGATACAAGTAAAACAGTTTATGTAAATATTAATTTGAAGTGGAAAAGCTAAGATTCAAGAAGGTAAATACTTTATTATGAAGAAAAAGTGTCTATACTAATAAGAAATATCAGAAACCAACAATGGGTCTATAAGAAAAAGTGTCTACATAATTATAAGAGCTATCAGAAACCAACAAAGGGTCCATCTAGAACACTCAAAGGAATAATGAAGCCTTAACAAAATAATCTGTACTGATTAAACAAGCAGTACAAATGTCAGAATCTTACTAACAGCATTTGATGTTAAAATACCTACAAATTCAATGTTAAAAGCATACAATTTTGAAACTTACCAAGAAACTTGGTAAATTTACCAAGAATCTCAATATCTGGAAAATGCGTGGCTTAGAATCAAAGATTCCTTAAATAGAATGCACATTGTTTACATTTTACTACATTATTTTATTAAAAGTTGTAATATCCACTAGTCACAAAGAGATGCCAATTATTTTGGTTTGGTTTCTGTCACTGGTTTTTCTTTTTTATTTATTTAAATATAAATAGTATTTATTTTCTCATTCATGATTCAATTTTTGTTTGTAACAGGAAAAAAAACCATAACAGGCATTCAAGTTGGCAAGCAAAACGTTTTATTAAAAAACATCAACCATAACACCAACTAGCCCTTCGATAGCACTCTTCATCAGCAGACATTCAAGTGCTTTACAAAGGAGATTAGTATCACTATCCCTATTTTACAGATGAGGAAACTGAGGCACAGGGTGGTGAAGTGACTGCCTAAGGTCACCCAGCAAACCAGTGAAATATAATCCATGTCTCCTGAGTCTTGGTTCAGTGCTTTATTCACTAAGCTATACTACTTCTCCACAAAATAAATAGTTGGTTTAGTTTATTTAAAAAAAAAGTTATAGGGCATGCAAATATCCAATAAACAATAATCCTAATAATGACTTTTATGATACAAATAACAAGCATGACAAAATTGTAAACAAATTTTGGCAGTTAAAAATAAGCTCATTTCAACAGACAAGACATGCAATACAAAGAACTATAGGCTGCCAGAACTCAGAATACTTACAGTAAAAACCAACTGCTGCAGGCAGCAAAAACAAAAACAAATCCATTTATGTAAACATAAGATCTAGAGATTACAAGAATAATTAATAATCAAATGAATGTAATATGCTGATATGCTAGTTATTTTAGACTTCCCTCCATTCAAAAATGACTTTCCACACACATACTAATAAACTGAAGCAAAATGCAGGACAATGTAGCACTTTAAAGACTAACAAGATGGTTTAATAGATGATGAGCTTTCGTGTGCCAGACTCACTTCCTCAGATCAAATAGTGGAAGAAAATAGTCACAACCATATATACCAAAGGATACAATTTAAAAAAATGAATACATATGAAAAGGACAAATCACATTTCAGAACAGGAGGATGCGGGGGGGGGACACATATGAAAAGGAAAAATCAAATTTCAGAACAGAAGGGCGATGCGGGGGGAGCGGAGGAAGGTAAATGTCTGTGAGCTAATGATATTAGAGGTGATAATTGGGAAAGCTATCTTGATAATGTGTAAGATAGTTCAAGTGTTTGTTCAATACTCTTTGGAGACGCTTACCTTCCTTCTTCCCCCCCCCCGCATCCTCCTCCTGTTCTGAAATGTGATTTGTCCTTTTCATATGTATTCATTTTTTTTTAATTGTATCCTTTGGTATATATGGTTGTGACTATTTTCTTCCACTATTTGATCTGAGGAAGTGGGTCTGGCCCACGAAAGCTCATCATCTAATAAACCATCTTGTTAGTCTTTAAAGTGCTACATTGTCCTGCATTTTGCTTCAGCTACCCCAGACTAACACGGCTAAATTTCTATCACTAATAAACTGAATACTGATCAAGGTTAAGAAAGATTAACTGGCCACAACTAAAGCCTATTGAAAATCCTCCACCAATGTTAAATCAGGAATTTTAGAAAAACGTGAAACACGTAGAAAGATAATGAATTTGCAGCACGGGAAGTGATATGCCGTGGATATTTATGTACGAGATATAATATATATGCACATATACTTTACAAGAGAAATTATTAAGAAATAGGGCTGACAATCGATGTGCGTTAATGCCTGCGATTAATGCAGGGAAGGATTAATGCGTTAATTTTTCTAATGCTTTAATTGCAGGCGTTAATGCTGCACTGCCCCTTGGAAGCGCCAGTCTGGGCAGTTGCACATCAGAGTTAAGGCTCACTGCCTATCCTATTACCATGCAGCTTCGGGTAATGGCTTGAATTTCCGGATCCTAGGGCCAGGGACTGACTCTGAAGCTCCACTGGCTGGGAACTGTATCATGGGAACTGCAGAAGTGGCACTTGTGTGGAGGGAGTACACAGGGCTTCTTGGCCAACCCGTGCCAAGGGGCTATAGGGACATGCCTGCCACTTCTGGGAACTACCTGAGGTAAGCACTACCTGAACCTCAAACTTTTTTCTACACCCCAACCTTGAACCCCTCCTGCACCCAAACTCCCTCCCAGAGCCTGCTCCCCACACCCACACTCCACTCTCCTGCCCCAGGCCTGAGGCCCCCTCCACATCCAAACTCCCTCCCAGAACTTGCAGTGTGTACCCCCTCTTGCATTCCAAACTCCTCAGCCCCAACCTAGAATCACCTACTGCATCCCAAATCCCTCATCCCCAGCTCCACACTATAGCCTGATCCCCCAGGTGGAGCTCTCACCCCCTGAAACACACCCTGACTCTGAGCCCAAAGCACCTTCCTGAACCCTGCATTTCTGGCCCTACCTCAGAACCCATATCCCAACCACCTTCCCCAGGCTGATGAAAGTAAGCAAGTGAGAAAGAATGGGAGAGAATAAACAAGGGAGGGGGGATGGAGTGACTGGGCCTGCGGTGAAGGGTAAGGGTGTTTGGTTTCTGCCATTAGAAAGTTGGCAACCCTATGTTATAAAACTGAAAAGTATTATTTTTGTTTTTCAAAAATCTATTTGAATACATGAAATGTTCGTCAAGGTATGACAGCACTGACTTGGTACCAAAACTCTTGCCCAAAATGTTTTATGAGTGTTTTTTCATGGGCTGCACATGAACAGAAGTCATACCACCTGGGAAGAGAATATAAAAGTAGTGGAGGAGCAGACAAGGCCAAACCACTCTCACTAAAATAATGGCAGAGCTCTCTAAATGGAGAGTACTTGAGATGGTGGGTTCTACTTTTGCTTAGAGAGAAGGAACAAGCTCTCAAGTTATGGCAAAGCAGAGCTGGCATACAGGCTTAAGAGGTGAGGCTCTTTTGGGGGTTTTGTTGTTTGTCTCCAGTTTGGAACCTGCTAGGGCCATGACTTGCACAAATGAGTACATTTCATAGAATCATAGAAAACTAGGACTGGAAGGGACCTCGAGAGGTCATTGAGTCCAGTCTCCAGCCCTCATGGCAGGACCCAGTATTTTCTAGACCATCCCTGATCGACATTTATCTAACCTACTCTTAAATATCTCCAGAGATGGAGATTCTATAACCTCCCTAGGCAATTTATTCCAGTGTTTAACCACGCTGACAGTTAGGAACTTTTTCCTAATGTCCAACCTAAACCTCCCTTGCTGCAGTTTAAGCCCAATGCTTCTTGTTCTATCCTCAGAGGTCAGGAAGAACAATTTTGACAAGGTTTAGTGCCAATAGAAGATATGATTTCCCCTCAAATTGGTTCCTATGTTCAGTAAAAGTTACAACTAAAATATTGAAGTTAATAAGCATAGTGGGACCTTTATTTGCTATGACAATGTCATTGTAAATACTATATAAATGCTAAGAACCAGTAAATAAAAAGGTAGTTATTTAAATTAGCTTCATATTTAGATTTACTAAAATACAAATCAATACAAATTTGGAATGTTTGAGTAAATAGACCTTGCAACATCAACTAATATTTTCTCAAACTAAGTGCTCTGGTGAGCTGCAGAGTTCACTGCACATACACAACACAGAAAAATGTATTACTTTACCTGAAGGATTAGTAAAATCCAGCATACTGGTTGTAGGCTGCAACAGATCAGGGCTACTTGACGAGAGTGTTCCAGGGATAGGCATTATGGCCAGACTGTGTCTGCACTGCCTTGTTCCAACAATACTGTCATCCTGTGACTGGCTTACACTGCCATCACTGCAAAATAGTTGCAAAAATTACCTACATTTAGCTGATACAGAGTAGAAAATGTATTTTACTTTGTCTGTACAACAAAGCACAAAAAGAACTTTCTCTAAATCAAAGCTTCCTTAATGTGATACACAACAGAAGATCAAACAGATGGGGAAAAAATCCTCATAATTTAAACAAAATAAATCTTTTTCATTAACTTAACTCCATTTCTTAACTGATTACTTCTGAACATTTACCAAAATACTCTGCAGAACAGTAAAAATTGTAAAGACTTAGTGCAAATAAATGCTTAGAGATAAAAGCAGTAGAGCTCCAAACAAGCTGCAATATAAAACACCTTATAAAATTACCCACTATGTAAATACATGCTGGATCTGATGTACTAATTTGGTGATATATAAAGAAAGAACTAATGAATACACATAGCAGGCTAAGGCATTCGTGCCCATTTACAGCATAACTCCACAGGGTTGGTGAAAATGTTGCTCAGATTTGTAGTTGTATGCAATTCATCTGAACAGTGCAGTTGATTATGCCTTCACTAGTCACGGCCAAATGTTTTAATCTTTTTTAATATCAAAATATGATTGCCTAATAAGATTTTACTGTGACCTTCTAAGAACCTCAGTTCTCTCTACAACATGAAGCAAACCACCTTTGTCTCCTTCCCTGAAGGTCTTCCTTCCATACAGGAGCACTACCATTGAGAAACACAACTCTGAATCCAGCAGCTTTTCTAAGGGCTCTGGTTTCTACTGCTTTCACATTTCCTATGCTCTGGTTCTTCCCCAGTAAGAAGTGCTCCAGATTATTACATGAAGTAGTACACAGGAGCTGAAAGAAGCAACACCTGAGGCCAGCAGAGAAACTGCTAGACTTGTTTAATACTGCCAGATGGGCTCTCAGTAGGTAAGTTAAGGCCCAAGGAAATTGGGGGCTGATATAGGGTCGTAAAAAAGGGAAAGTTCTCATTTCCAAGAATCAGAGGAATTGCTGGTATCTGTACTTTGTTTGCACACCCTGATTCGTGCTGCAGCAACACAAATCAACTGGAGAAAAAGGCAAGGGAGAGGTCTAAAAGCACAAAGCAGAACTGTAACGAGATACTAGCATTAGGCAGAGTGGTGCATCAAGCTAGAAAAAGTTGCAGCCCAAAGCACAAACTTTAAGCATTTGGCCACTCATGTAAAAACAAAAAATCTAGCCACCCGGTCATGCTTCTATATAGAAAGTAATAATATAATTCACTTGTGGCAGAGTGTAAAGTGAATTTTAAGTCTTACCCATTAATAAGAGGAAGTAGCACCTCTCCCAAAACAATCAACTAATATGATTGCTTTGTGTATATTTATTTTTAAAATACTTTTTCTTAAGTATGATTTTGGGGAAGTCAGGGAGGAGTTCTACATTTAGATATAGGAAGAAAAATCCCTTTGGTTTATTTAGCACAATACATTTTCATTATTTTTACTTTCTCAAAGTTTCTATCAATATAAAACCTAAATTACCTCATCTGTCATTTTAATGTATTCACTGGACTCCTCTTAATATAATTAAGATATTTACATACATCACACCCATTTATCGTATTGTATAAAATACATTACTACAATTGTATGCAGAGTTGTTCATATAAAAGAATCATTAAAGACCAAACAGATTATTCTAATCAGTCAGTCATAAAAGTAAATTAAAATATACCATAGGGCAACATTTTTGTGATGGGACAGTGGCAAGAAGGAAAAATGACCAAATTTCAGGAAGAACGATTGAGCAAAAGAAGAGCAGGATAATACAGAAAGAAGGTTAAGAGTCTCAAAACAAGGAAGATAGGTGGATCTTAAAATGCAATTTGCAAAGAGACAGAGTTAATCAGAAGAGATTCTGTTCCAGATAGTAAGATTATACAGTATTTACTGTTGGGGGGGGGGGGGGGGGGAAGAAAGAGGAAAACTAAGGAAGCTTCAGAAACAGCCTAAAGTTCAGGAAAAAAAATGGTTAGAGATTAGGGGAAGAGTTTTGAAATCTATGACAAAGAATGTTGTGCTGATTCAGAAATGAGAAGGAGCCAGGAAAGATTTCTGAGTATGCAAGTAATTGTGGTCAGCTTTTGGGTAGACAGAGTGAATGAGATGGGTCACTTTGGGGACAAATTGAGATCTGGAGCTTTGCAACTTTATGTGACAATTAAAGGAGAAGGGAGCAAGAACTATATTAGTTTAGGTGAGAGGAAATGAAAATGACAATAAGCTTTTTTGCAGAGAAGCAATAAGTGTAGCATCTGATGGAAATGGAAATATATATATTCGAGAAATGTGGGTGGCCAAAATTAAGTCAAGGTGTGGGGTGAATTAGAGGATGAAGAGGGAAAAGGATATACTTTACTTTGGTAGAAGCTGTTCTTATTTATAAGGGTATCAGTCCTGATTTATTAAGCTGAAGGAATTTATGCCAAGACTAGAACTGAGAAGGTTAAAAGAAGAAGATGCGAGAAAAGACATGAAACACCAGAGGGAATATGGGCATCATTTTTACAAATGTAAGTATAAAAACATATTACAAACTGTGCATTTCAAGATACCTGATTTTTTAGTTCAAGTGAAGTACCCAAAAGTGCCAGGTCTTTCTTTCTCTACTATATAAGGTCACCAGCTGCAAGCCATGGTATACTTGCTTATAATCACATTATCTGGATCACCAAGCTGGGATCCATGTAATTGTATAGTAAACTAACAAAATTCTACAAATTCTTGAAGCATCCCACACATTGCCAAAGCAGAAGTGGAGTGATCCAATACTTTCTAGTATATGGTGCTATAAATCTCATGAGATGATGAAAATTTAATGGCAAGACTTTTGAGTTTATAGGAGGAAAAGAACTGGAATTGTGTATGCTATTCAACAGTACCAAAGAAACTACACTGAAGTCTAAAAGCATTCATGCTTGTGAAGAAGCTGTATTGGCACACCCCCAACAACATATAATTAGGCAATTTCTTACCAAAACAATCCCCTGAGAAGGTGATGCAGTAACAGAAAGAAGACAATGTTGAAAACACAAGGAAAATACTGTAAACATTTCAACAACTTTATGATTCTTCTGAGGAACATAAATAACAAAGTTTACACAAGAAGAGAGAAGTAGTGCAGAGAAAAAAATAGATGACAACAAAACAAAATCAAGCAGATGCAGCAACCTAATACAAACATCTGAAGATTCCACTGAGACAAATGATGCCTGAATATGAGTTAACATTGGAAAAATGACCTATGACAGAGACAGTTCTTAGTCTTTAAAATGTCATCACACTTTCATTTCATGGTATATTAAAACACTTCTGCCATTTGTATAGATATATTGTGCACTTAAGGGCTAAAAGAAGAACACACTGAGTGTGAGGAGATTGGAGGTGGGAGAAATGATCCAAGTTGTTTATAATTAGGAGAAATAGGATGAGAGTTAGCACCTGAAAAATGTGGCTGAATATGAAGACAAATGTTGTAACAATAAGATCTATTAGCCTACAGAAATGTCCCAAAGCAAACTGCTGATGTGCCAGTGTTTAAGTCAGTAACACAGGACACAAAGCACAAAAGAATGTAGGTGCCAAAGGGGTAAGTAGCAATTAGATCTTTTCCATCTAAGTTTTATGAAATAACATTATTCTACTTTTGTTATCAAATTTACTAAAATACATATCCAATCTCAATAAACCAGGCATTATATTTGTATGCTAGCTGATCGAAAATATCAGCACTTGTAATTTAAGGCTATATTTGCTTTTCTTATCTCAAATCATTTTTAGCACTTAAATCAACTAGTCTTTGTACTGTAAATATATTCAGAGTATAACAGGGTATTGGTAGCTAGACGGCTGGTAGTCATTAATGGATGAGGTTTCAGAACTGAAAATTACAGAAAAATATTAAAGCAATACTGATTGTTCAAGTTCAGATACTGAACCACATACATGAGGAAAAAAATCCATATGTAAAACACTTTCCCAAAGAGAGTTACAAAACGTGTTGATTCAAATGGATTGTCATAGACAAAAGCATCTGAAAAGTCTTAACATATCCACTCATTTTAAATTGAAAGTTACTTAATTAATGCTTTCCAGTGCCCAGATTGCACAGGTTGTTCCTCATATTCATACTATAACAATTGATACTAAAGAAAATATTGACAGTTAAATATTTGCATTACATATTATGGATAAACAACAAGGAGTCCTATGGCACTTAGGGTACGTCTACACAGCAGGGTTACAGTTGAATTAAGCTGTGCAACTTCAGCTATGTCAACTGTGTAGCTGAAGTCGAAATAGATTAATTTAGCTTTTGGCGCTGTCTACACAGAAGGAAATCGAAGGAAGAGCACTCTTCCTTCAACTTCCCTTACTTCTCGTAAAATGAGAGTTACCGTGAGTCAGAGTAAGAAGTCCTCCAGCTCAATATTATTTCAAAATGAAGGACTGTAGTGTAGACGCGGTCTTTGTTATTCCAGAATAATGTCAGTTATTCCAAAATAACGCTGCTGTGTAAACATAGCCTTTGAGACTAACAAATTTATTAGAGCATAAGCTTTCATGGATAAAACTCACTTCGCTGATTAAGTAGTTATACCCACAAAAGTTTATGCCCTAATAAATCTGTTAGTCTCTAAGGTGCCACAGGACCCCTTGTTTTGCAGATACAGACTAACACAGCTACCTCCCTCTGAGACTTTTCATATTGTGGATAGAAATTCAAAATGATGTAGGTGCAAGGCAGGTTTGAAAGTAGGGCACTATAAAGGAGTAGGCTTTTTCAAAGCTATATTTTGGTCTAATATTACAATTGCTAATCATATTTGCAGCAGTTGTCTTTTACCTATATAAAAATAGTTATACTGTTTAGTTTATTAAATGGCTTAATTTGGAAAATAGCAGCTTAACAACATATACTCTTTTGCCAGAACAGTCACACCTACCTAAATAGTTTGGGAGGTAAGATGCTGAATCGTGTCTTGTCTAAAATTTTCCTGATTCTGTTTCTTCCACCAGATACAGTGTTTGCTTTGATTTTCTTGTTTCCTTTCTCACATGGAAATATTTGTTCCATATCTCCAGGCATATCTGGGATGGAGTAGCGATTACTTTTCTTTTCTGCAATTTTTGGAATATGAGGGACTCCATTTTTCTCCTGTCCTAGCCTGCTAAGAAGTTCTTTAAACACTGTAAAAGAAGATAAACCTGTTAAAAAATTTATTTCCTAGAAAACCTGTTCTTTTAAGCCTTCTTTATCCCATCTTCACCTACCACCGTAAAAGAAATACTGAACATCATAGTTGTTAACACACACACACACAGACAATATGGTCAACTTTCCTCTTCCCACTGCATGCTGATGTGGTCACCCCTTTTCAAATAAGATATATTACATTTGAAAAGTTTGAGAAAAGGCAACAAAATTATTAGGAGTATGGAAAGGCTTCTGTATAAAGAGAGAAGAGTAAGACTACCAAGCTTCATTTCAGTTTGGAAAATAAGGGGGTGATATGATTGAGGTCTTTAAAACTATAACCAGTGTAGAAAAAGTAGATACAAAAGTGCTATTTATTCCTTCTCTAAACAAAAGAAGTAGAGGTCACCAAATAAAATTAATAGGCAGCAAATTTAGAACAAACAAACAACACATAGTGAGCTTGTGGAACTCTTTGCCAGAGGATGTTCTAAAGGTCAACACTAACAGGGTTCAAAAAGAACTCGATAAATTCTAGGTCCATCAATAACTATCAGACAGCATGTACAAGGATAGTGTTCCTAGCCTCTGTGTACCAGAAGCTGGGAATAAATGACAGGGAAGAAATCACTTGATGATTACCTGTTCTGTTCATTTCCTCTGGGGAACATGGCATTGCAAATTGTCGGAAGACAGGATACTGGGCTAGATGACCCAATATGGCTGTTCTTCGCTACTGAATTCAATAGGAGAAGGAATAGCCACTAAATAACTAATGGAAAACACACTACAAATAGAAAAATACTACACTGGAGGGTACTTTCAAAGGCAATTAAATAATGAAGTAGAAAAAAATTCATCTTTTTCATTTTTCTTATTAATAAACCTTATGACAAATTTAATTAAACTATGCTACCATCCAGTACAATTAGCTAGATAAAAGAAAACATTACATTTACATTCATCAACCTTTACAATAGTTTTTTTTTTTTTAATCTTTATCTTTTAGGTAATGGGATAACACGTTTTCTTAAGAACAGCTGTAAGACTGACACTTTACTAACTGACCCTTCGTCTATCTTCATTTATATTATTGAACATAATCCATATCTAATATTCTTTTTGCGCTTATCAGATTTCACTGGCCAACTGATAACAATGACATTTCCAGAAAATGCTATTCTATGGGGGGAACAGGTTATACCTATTTTATTTGTGTTTCTGGTATGTAACATAAAACTCTACCCTTCAACACTATAAATTAATTCCTGCCACTCAGGGTGAGTGTGTGGTTTTTTAACATCTTTGAGGTTGCTGACATCAGAGAAATTTAGTATTTTCAGTTGAATACAAACGCCTGCATTCACTGAAACAGAAATTACAGCTGCACGGTGCTGATTATTCATGTTTTCCTCCCAAACCAGGCAGGCAGCACATACTATGCACAAATATTAGACCAAATTGCATGATTTTATTACATACCAAAATTTAGGATTGTACATCTTTGTATGAGAAATTCAGATGTGAGCTTGGGGATTCACTTATATATTCTGTGATAACTCTCTAGAACCACATGAAGCATTTGGCACTCTATTAAAAATAAGAATAGCAAATGCAAAGGGCTTTAGTGGATGGATTTGTTAAAATACATCAATCAGCAGAGTAAGCACCTTGAATATCTAGCAGCAATAAAAAGGGCTCATAATCCACACATATACATTTACAGGCAGTCCCCAGGTTACGAACAAGATAGGGACTATAGTTTTGTTCTTAAGTTGAATTTGTATGTAAGTCGGAACTGGCTCCAGATTCAGATGCTGCCACTGAAACTGACCAGGGGCTGACTACAGGAAGCCAGAGGCAGAGTTGCTCTGCCCCCAGCTTCCTGGAATCAGCCTGATCAGTTTCAACAGCTGCTGAATCTGGAGCCTGGGACAGAACAGTTGGGGCGCTGCCCGGTAGGTTCCCACAGGACCAACCCGGCAGCACCCCAGCTGCTCTACCAGAGGCGTCCCGCAACAAAAGCCTGATCTGCTCGGGGGGAGGGAGGGGGCGCACTAGCTGCGCTCCCACTCCGCCCAGCAGACCAGGGAGACCCGAGCAAAGCCGCCCAGGAGAAGCTTTTCTCACCCCGGAGGACACGGGTGGCGATCCGCCGCCCGTGAGCTCCGGGGCGAGAAAAGCCCCATTCGTAAGTGCGGATCCGACATAAGTCGGATCCGCGTAAGACGGGGACTGCCTGTATATGTACAATGCAGTAATTCTGTACAGATAATCAGAGTGAACTAGACCTTCCTGAGTCTTTTTTCCACTGACTTGGTTGCAACTATGTTTCATTTTCATATGAATATGTTAACTTTCAAAGGAAGGTTGTACAAGAGGGTATTCCGCTACATGTCACTTTGTATTAACTCAAGTTATTTGATTAAAAGGATTTTTAAAATTGGTTTTGGCCTCATTTTATTTGTAACAATAAACTATAGCTAAACTCATGAGAATTTTTGACCTCTACTGTGCTGTAAAGAAGAAAATAGAATTTAAAAACAAAAAATCAATAACAAACAAATACAAGTAATTAGAAGTAGCATATGAGACCAGGGAAATGAAAGGACCATCCACAACCTCAGCTATAATGTAAGTCAAAGAAAAGAAACCATGTATGTTTAGGGGGAATCTTGTTCTCAATGTAGTGGTATTTGTGTTGGGGTGGGATGCAAATAATGTGCTCTCTGTCTTATGGAAAAAACAACAGATAGTTTGACTGAGATTTTAAAAAGTTATAAAATTACAATTTAAAGCTAATATGGATATTGCATATATACTTTATACATTCTCGATTTTCTCTTTCAGATGTAAAAGATGTTATGGCTCTGAAACCCATTATTAAAAGCTTTTTTTCAAACCTCCCACCTCCCTTGATTTTACATCTTTTGCTATTACTTGTCAAAACTAGCGACTCAAGAAAAGATTTGTGAATGAGTAAGTTACCAGTTCATAAACTTTGTTTCAGATTATTGGCACTCATTTCAACCTCTTTGAATGAAGGCCCAATAAAGCTGCTTAAATGGTCACATGAGAATTTCCCAAATGGTTATGCTGTGTTTACACCACTCCACATGCAGATCCTGGCACAGGGGACATATGCAGGTAAAAACATGACATGGAGTCTGTGCACTGATGGTCATTAACTACTAGACTAGCTCCTTGGGGCCACATATAACTGGGCGGAACTTAGTGTGGTCCTGAGGCCTTCAGGACAGGGACCTTTGTCTTTTATTACATGCAAGCTTTGCAAGCCTACTCACCAAAAATGTTTGTTTTTACAGTAATGGAAAGATGAGTATTGTTCCTCAAGATTTCAAGAGCTTTTACAAATGTAATGTTCTCAAAGTTCTGTCCATTTACTTCCATTACCTTTTAGGAGAAATAGGAAAAAAATGAATGTTTAGATTAAATGTTACAAAAGGTTTTCCATTCTCTAAATGCATTCTTCAATATTATTAAAAAAGTACAATAAAGGCTTCAGATGTTACAACAGTGCTACATGTTAGAGTGGCATTATGAAAACATACATTACTAAATAGCCTCATTAATTAGCTGCAACAATTTACACGTCAAGACCTCCACTTTAATTGCTGACACAAGTCTGACACTCTCATAACAAGAAGCTTCATTCCATCAGTGTAGATTCGTGGATCAAAGGGCATCCAATTGACATGCAAACCATAGGCCAGATGGTATACAATGTGATAATTTACTCCAGTTAAGGATGTGTCTTCACCATTCCAACTTAGGTTTACAAATTAGTTTTGGATGTTTACATTTAAATTTTACGGCTGTGAGGCTCCCTGCTTTAGGCTTTGCCACATCCCAACCCATAAAAGAGCAATAGATAAGACCTCCAAGCTGCTTAGAGCAGCAGTTGTTTGGGAATCAGCCAATCAGGATCCATCAGGTTAGTTAACTAGAAATGTAAGGGTCAGGGCCAGAGCTGAGTTCCTTGCTAGAGCAGGAGGAGTATGTCTGGTGCCCTGAGCTGGCTGGTGGGCCTCCACAAGGCCAAGGCCCTGAGCTAAGGGTGACGAGTGTGATGCAGTCACTTGGAAGTGGCCCAGGCAATTGTAGCAGTAAAGTTGTTTTTTTAAAGTACATGGCAGACTGCTGCTACCTATAGGGTCCTTGGGCTGGGACCCGGAGTAGAGGTTGGACCCCACCAGCCATTGGGAAAGTAGCTGGTCTTCGATGCACCGAAAAAGGTGAACTAAACTATTTTAGTGGCCCAACTGAAGAGAGGGGGAAAAGTTTTCAGGGAGGGAGCCCTGTGGGACATGGTCCTAAACCAGGGCCAGGACTACTTAAAGAGCAAGCATAATTCGAGGGAGCTGAGACGCAGGCACTGTGACAAACCCTCTGGACTTATTGAAGAGTGAACCCCAGGGTAGGACTTCAGATTTAAGGACCTTATTGAAGGTGCTGACATAGGCCTCCATTGGACTTATACCCCAGAAGGGGTTTGCTTTGTGTTTATCTCGCAAACAGTGTGTATATGATTTAATTGAAGCAAAGATCCACCACAAACCAAATGTGTGTGCAGGCACATGCAGTTAACCAGGGGTCATTCATGAGAGGTGAGTACACCATACTACAATGCAACAGTGTTTCCTTAAAAAAAAAAACCATGACTATGATATTTTTAGTTTTTCATTATAGGTAGACAGATAAATTAAGAAGGAGAACTGCAGGTGCAAACCACAAATCCTTAAAATACAGATTGACCCTCTCTAATCTGGCATTCTCTGGTCTGGCAACATCCATGATCCGGCTGATTTTAGTTAGCTGGATGTCCGCTTATCATGAGAATGGCCATTTCCCATGGTCCCACAATGTTTGTTTACAGCCACTAGTCTTGGCTCTCAGTGTTCTGTGGTGTTATTTAGCTCTAATTTACCCTAAATGTCTTTGCAGAGCTCAGTAAGCAGTGGAAGTGCTGGTAATACTGCTAGAAAATATTGACCTCCTGTGGTCTGGAAAATTCTCTAGTTCAGCACTGGTCAGGTCCCAAGGGTGCTGGACTAGAGAGGTTCAACCTGTACTACAGAATTTGCTAAGCAAATTAATATCTTATTTTTCAGACAAAAGTTTTCTGGCATTTACTGTACTTGGTTGAACTGGGAGGCATTTTTATTAAAATGACATCTGACATATGAATAATGTTATGCACTTTTTTACCTGATCACCACGCTTAAGTCCAGCTTCTGCTGCTTTGCTGCCTGTTTCTACAGTCTCTACAAAAATGCCAAAACCTTTTTCACTTCCTCCAACAAGACAGAAAAAGAGTGGTGAGTCTCTGGATGGTTTTTGTAGTGTAATTTGCCTCCACTTTGCCTTGGCAGCACAGGCAATATTCAGCAACCTGAGGTGACCCCTCATTTTCTGCAAATCAGAAGAAACACAAAGGAATGCAATGTTTCTTTATCTTGAATTGGAAGAACTAAAAAGACCATACCAAAAAAAAAAAAAAAAAAAAAAAAAGACTATGAACGTGAGGATCCAATTCTTACCCAAAACATTTTTCTTTCTTGAAATACCATCAAGAGATAGAAATGAACATTCTATACCATTTTATCGCTTCATTCAGTACAGTCATATATACAATTTAGATTAAGACTCTGTTAAAAACTGAATGCACATTGTCTTAAATCACAGATGGAAAAGCCCACATCATCGGACAGCATGACACTGATAGTTTTTAGTCCTACCGTATCTTCCAAGTTTTTTTCAAATTCTTCCAGAAATCGTGTCATAGCGGGATCTCCTTCAAAATCATTGAAATGATTGTTCACCCATAATAAGACCACTCTGGTTACCTTCAGAAATAAGATAAACATGAGCATTTTTTGATAGGTTGGTTTTGGAGTTGTTAGTAGTAAGAAAAAAAGATTATGTACATTGTAAATGAATTCATTTATGTGGATTAAACCTGACATGCCATTATTTTCTGCATTAATGTTACATGGTTTTCATAGAAGTAAACCAAAATCAGAGGTCACTTTTACTGTTTTTAAACCATTCCTGGGTCATTTTCCTCCACTGCACAATTAAATTGATCAAAAAAGAAAAAAAAACATGAAATTGGACTACTATGTACAGTCACTCAAAGTCATTGTCAACTAGTTTCCCTTCCGAAATCTTACACATTTCATATTGCCATTATGACTGATCAGTCATTCCCTCAACCATAACTTTTAGGGAAAGCATAGTAACAATACAACATCACATTTTAAGAACCTTTATCTTTATTTTTAAAACAAATGCAGTTGACTGTGCTACCGAATTACTGTACAACCCTCATAATATAGTCAGCCTGTCAATTACTCACATCTATATAAAACAAAAGTGCTCAACAATTACAACAGTTTCTTTTGTCTAAAAATAAATTACTTCCTATTTTATTTGCTGAGAGTTTTTTTTTCTTTGCAAGTCCACAAAAAAATTGCTGTATGCAAAAGTGCTTAAATTTCAGTTATAAAAATGTTCTCCAACACAGGCCCCTCCATCCCAAAATCATTTTAGTATCCGTATCTATATACTTAGCACATTTTAAGCCCCTCATTATTCACAGAAAAGAAAATGATTGAAAGTGCTGGACGTGTGTGACATATCCAGAGTATAATGTACTAATGAACAGCTGTGTCTCCCCTGCTTTCTAGCCTGGGGTGCCCTTTACACTGCTTTGCTGCTGTAATGCCAGCCCAGATTTCTCACAGCCTCTGGCATACAAGTCACTCCCAGTTACATCTGTGTGTATACTGCAACCAGTAAGCAACACCTAGGCTCTGATTACTAGTTTGAATTAAACTGCAAGGTGACCTCATCGCACTCCCAGTCCCAGATTTTTGCCCTGAAATATTTGCCTTGTACTACTCAACTTCCCCCCTCTCTCCCGGGACAACACAAATTTATATAGGTCTGTTATTTAATTGGTGGAATTATTATGAACATATTTCATCATCTCAAATGTTGTTTCCCAAACTTTTGAATTTAAACACACTGGATTAGATAAAATAATAAAACAGCTGAAAATCTACAAAGACATAGCTCTTTAAATGAATACAAGTAATAAGGCATAAAAGTCAGAAATTGTTACAAGAAAAAGAAAAGAATAAATACAACTAATGCCTAACTTAAACTACATTACATACAAAGCAAAGTTCTGCTCAACACATGTACTCAACAATCCTACTGGCCTATCTTTGTAGGCCAGGACCTCCTCTTCTGCATGTAACTTCTAGAAGGGGAAAAAGGCCAGCATGGGAATCCCCCAGTGCTATAGAGGTAAGTAATCGCTTTCAGGCTCTCTCCACAGGCTCTGCAGTGCTGAATGCTTTGGAAGGGATCTCACAAGGAATAAACCGGAAGGGAACACCATCTACTGGAAGGCATGGGATGCATAGTCCTAGGAATGGGGGTTCCACGGCCCCAAAAGAAAACGACGGATGGTGGTGGTCGGGGATTCCCTCCTAAGAGGGACTGAGCCATCCATCTGCCGTCCGGACCTGGAATCTCGAGAGGTGTGCTGCTTACTGGGAGCTCACATTCAGGATGTCACTGAGAGGCTTACCAAACTGATCACACCTTTGGATCGCTACCCCTTCCTGCTTCTCCACGTGGGAACTAACAATACGGCCAAGAATGACCTTGAGCATTTTACTGCAGATTACGTAGCGCTGGGAAGAAGGATCCAAGAATTCAGAGCGCAAGTGGTGTTCTCGTCCATCCTCCCTGTTGAAGGGAAAGGACTGGGCAGGGGCCGTCAAATTGAGGATGTAAATGCGTGGTTGCGCAGGTGGTGTCGCAGAAAGGGCTTTGGTTTCTTCGACCATGGGACTCTGTTCCGGGCACAAGGATTGTTAGGAAGAGATGGGATCCACCTAACCAAGAGAGGAAGGAGCATCTTCGCGGGCAGGCTTGCAAACCTAGTGAGTGTTTTAAACTAGCTTCGTTAGGGGATGGTGACCAAAACCCTGAGGGAGTGGGAAAGTCGGATACTGGGAAGAAATGCAGAGAGGAACGAGCAAGAAAGGAGGACCTCTGATTCGAATGGAGAAGGTAGGGCAATCAACTGTTTACCTGAGGTGTTTGTACACTAATGCGAGAAGCCTGGGCAACAAACAGGAAGAACTGGAGGCCCTGGCCCAATCCAAGAAATATGATTTAATTGGGATAACAGAGACTTGGTGGGATGACTCGCATGACTAGAGCGCTGTCATGAAAGGGTATAGACTGTTCAGGAAGAACAGGCAGGGGAGAAAAAGAGGAGGAGTTGCACTATATGTAAGAGAGCACTATGATTGCTCTGAACTCCAGTATAAAGAGGGAGAAAAACCTGTTGAAAGTCTATGGGTTAAGTTTAAAGGAGCAAACAACAGCAGTGATGTTGTGGTTGGGGTCTGCTACAGGCCATCGAATCAGGTGGATGAGGTAGATGAGGCTTTCTTCAGACAACTGAGAGATGCTTCCAGATAGCAGGCCCTGGTTCTTGTGGGGGACTTAAATCACCCCGACATCTGTTGGGAAACCAATACAGCAGTACACAGGCAATCCAAGAAGTTTTTGGAGAATGTTGGGGATAACTTCTTGACAAGTGCTGAAGGATCTGACCAGGGGCCGTGCACAGCTTGACCTTCTGCTCACAAACAGGGAGGAACTAATAGGGGAAGTAGAGGTGGGTGACAACCTGGGAAGCCGTGATCATGAGATGGTAAATTTCAGGATCCTGACCAAAGGAAGAAAAGAGAGTAGTAAAATACACACCTTGGACTTCATAAAAGCAGATTTTGACTCCCTCAGAGATCTGATGGGCAGAATCCCCTGGGATGCTAACATGAAGGGGAAAGGAGTCCAGGACAGCTGGCAGTATTTTAAAGAATCCTTACGGAAGGCACAGAAAGAAACCATCCCGACACGTACCAAGAGGGGCAAACATAGTAGGAGACCGGATTGGCTTACAGGGGAAATCCTTGGTAAACTTAAGCACAAAAAGGAAGCTTACAAAAAGTGGAAACTTGGACAAATGACCACGGAGGGGTTTAAATGTATAGCTCGAGAATGCCAGGGGGTTATCAGGAAGGCGAAAGCACAAATGGAATTGCGACTGGCTAAGGGTGTGAAGGATAACAAGAAAGGTTTCTACAGGCATGTTAACAAGAAGGTGGTTATCAGAGAGGGTGTGCAGCCCCTACTGGATGAAGGAGATAACCTAGTGACAGATGATGTGGGGAAAACTGAAATACTCAATGCTTTCTTTGCCTCTGTATTCACAGACAAGGTGAGCTCCCAGACTAATGCACTAAGTGACGCAAGATGGAATGAAGATGGACAGCTGATGGTGGGTAAAGAACAGGTTAGGAACTATTTAGAAAAGCTAAACGTACA